CCCCCCCCCCCCCCCGACCGATTTTCATGGCTCGATTATTCCACAACCAAGCTTGTGCCAACACTAATAATTACGAAGTATTTTTGGAGACATCGTCCAGGGCTTTCCATCGGTGTGTGGGTCTATTTCCGCACCCACGTGGTTGTAGAGAGAGCTATCGGGCTTTGAAAGTCGGTCTGTGGGAGGTGCCATCGTTTCCCCTGTCGCGGAAATTCATGTGTAGAACGCTTTCGGCAGGTTGTGCTGCATGGGAGCGGCCTCTCCGTATTGCCCGCTAGATGAAGCCTGGTCTCGCTTGATGGAAGCATGCCGCTTCATATAGCAGCTTTGGCTCCAACTAAGTTTGGATGGATACAGCAGGTTGGCCCCGCACTTCAAAACCTCTTGTTTTGGCTGAGGCTCGTTTCTTGCTTTTTCTCCATTGGGGTATCCCCACGGCGACTATTTTAGTGTGACTATATTGGTTTTAGTGTAGGCGTCTTGACTGAGCAACTGTTCTTGTAGCCAAGTTCTTATATGTTGGCGACTTTGAGGCTCAAGCTCTTAACAAACCAAGGTCTCAAGTGCTAGCCGGTTCTGTACACGTGATTGGTGGACACCAGGTGATATCTTCCGGCTCTTCGTACGAAAAGATGGCGGGCTACAGCCGGGCGGTACGCGTTGGCAAGCACGTGCAGGTACGGGTGAAGCGTCGTCTGGTCTATGGTGTTGTCGTGGTTTCTAATATTAGTGTTGTCTGTCTTGTTGTGGTTGTAGCAGCAGCAGCAGCAGCAGCACTGCTGCTATTTATCAGGTGTTGATGTCATAAAACAGGTGGCAAGAGACAAAGAAAATGTTCTCGTTGTGAAGAAAAAATTCGAAGAATATCGTGGAAGATTGGAGGCTCGTTCTTAGTCATTCGCCATCATGCCTTGATGCCACGAAGTGGCCGTCGAGCCGTGCACCCTGATTACACTTCTGTACTCGGAAGTCGTCCAGCGTGTTTTTATTCCTCCTCACCTTCCCCCCCCCACGGTGTTTACCATCGGGGTTGGGTTTTCGTCGCTTGGCAACGACGTTGTAAAACAAGCCGCCCCCCCCGGTGTTTGCCATCGGGATTGGGTTTCGTCGCTTGGCAACGACGTTGTAAAACAAGCCAATTCACTTCGTGAACTCGGCAACCAGGTTACCGTTTTTTTTTTT